AGTCTATTTCTATTAATACGTGTTCTATCAGTGATGATGCGTGATTCGAAAGTAGAAGATTATTTAGTGAATAGCCCGAAAGGCTGTATTATGCAGGTCATAAGTATTCATATAAATCCCGAGGGGCATTCCCACTGCAGTGAACACATTCACTCTATTCCCCTCCCCCCCCCCCCCCAAAAAAAAAAAAAAAAAAATTGCCATTAAAAATAGTACGTATAGTGGCTAGTACTTGAATTGGGAGAGAACCGTTTGTGTAATGTTAACCTTTTTTATAATAACATGGATGGTCAAAAACGTCTCATATTGAATTCAGGAATAAACCGGCATCTTTGTAAGCCAATTATTACAAAAATGACCGGTATTACAAAACAAAATGTAAACATAACATACAATAGCCGAAAAAAAACCCAGCCACACACAAAATAATTGGATGAGAGTTTTCCAGAAAGATCACATCTCACCTTTCACTTAATTTCTGTATCACACTTGAGGCGTGCGTGCAATAATCAAAATAGAAGCAGAACCTGTTAATCTAATTCAGTTTTAAATTTCGTATTAAGCATTAACGCAGTAGAAGTATTCTTTTTCTTTTAGTTGCTGATTTGATATCATCACCGTGGCAACGAATGAATAATTAAAACAAAGCGAGGAATGTAATTAATAGGCAAACGATAAAAACGAAAGAAAAAAAATCCTTCATTAATCTGCAAAGATCAAAACCTGCTTTGAAAGCTATCTTTTGATTAAATTGAACGTTATATTACCTAGAGTATAATTGAATCTCAAGAACTCATATTCATTTGAAACTGATTTTTTAAAAGACTGAACTTGGGTCTAATTTAGATTTTACTTCTCTTAAAAGGGTTAGGGTTCGGGTTCGGGTTAGTATTCACCTAAATACTAATTTGTATAAAGTGGCCATTTGGTATGAGTTCTGGCTTGTTCTGGAATTTTTTGCTTCTAGTGGTGATAATATTTGTACCGTGCGGTAAGAACTGCCAGCCCTCGATAAACTACTAGAAGGTTTTATTACTCAACAAATACCTTCTCGAAGTATGTAATAAAATCTAATCGGGTGGGTTTGTAATATAAATAGTTATTTTATAAGGCTGCGTAAACCAGAGAACGTTAGCTTAGTAAACAGAAGTTATGAAATTATCAACCCTGATTGAATGTATGAGTTTGAATGATAATATTGTTATGCTTTTAATTTTATGATCTTGTCTTGAGTGTATTATGGGCATATGGCTTAAACTATTATTATTATTTATTATTATTATACATGTATAGTACTATCCATTACGGAAGACTAACAGTGTAATAGTGTCAATCAATCGAAAAAAGAAAATATTCTGATTATCTTGTAATTACATGTATAACTATGCAGTAATTACGATCTTTTTCTCATTTGATTGATCCTCTGGTCTTCCCTAATCGATCCTAAAAGGTCGTCAAATTTATAAGTTCGTAAATAGAACGAACCAAATTAGTGTAATATTATTTATAGTGGGGCCGAGCTAAACGGGTCAAAGCGGTGTAACGGTGATATAGTCGCACGGTTTTGTAAATCGGATAAAAATTGTGACATCTAGACGGACCACAAACTACCCCCCCCCCCCCACACACACACACACACAAACCCGCTAAATACGTTAAAAATTCTAAAAGTTATTGGGGTTTTTTTTCAATTCGCTATTTATCCACAGAGTGCTGTCGTTTATTTTCGGCGATTTCATATCTCCCTTACACCCATTTGAAATTTCATCAAAATCGGATAAAATTGTGACCTGTAGACAAAAATATACGTCCACATAAAAATGTGTTGGGACTTGGGTTGCTATATCTTTTTTAAAAGACTATACGAATGTACCAATTCCAATGCCTCACTATTATGAGAAAAAAGAGCTTACAATCGAGCCTATATGATGCTGCCTCCAGAATCCAGAATGGCTGGAAAGTAGTGAATAGGAAGTGTTTGTCTATATAATGTGAGTATTATATTAATATTATGTCCGCGATCCTGTTGCTGGTTCCATATTCATAGACAAGACTTATATCACATAGACAAATTGAAGTAATTGATAAGTTGATATAAAAAAAAATCAGTTATAATTTGATAAACATTACATTCTGGGTGAAAAATAGGACATCACGTCTGACAATCCTGGTGGAAAATTACCGTTACATCGTTAGACTTAATTAACCAACCATCATAATTAATTACGACATTTGGCCAATCGAATAATTGACAGCTATCTCAGGGCCATTGTCCATGTTAAAAGATTGTTCTAGATTCTATAGAGATTAGACACGCATTGGATTCTTTAGAGATCAGACATCAGGTAGATGCTTTAGACGACTATTTGATGATGTAATGGTTTTCCAAAGTCTAGTCACACCAGTTAGACTTGTACAAGAGTGTGGTGTAGAGAATGGCTTTATGTATACCGTTGTTTAAACCTTTGCAATCAATATCTACAATGCTTGACATAAAATGGCGAAACGAACTGTTGTATTGTTGTTCCTAGTAGGTAAATGCCTTGGCTGCAGAGAAAAGTAAATACACAACGCGAGTACTAGCCAAGAGAAAAGAATTTCAAAATATGACCAGAGAAAAATTTCATCACTCTCCATCAGTCAGAATCAAAGTTATCTTGTATTGTCCCAAATCATCGACTAATGAAATGGCTTAGCTATGCTTAGCTTTAGTGGAAAATGTTGATCACTGAACCCAGTTAAGACATTCAAGTATCTAATGAACATCTACACCCAGTTTTATCATTCTACCGCAAATTAAAAGCAGAGGTGTAATGTTCCAAAGTCTTGACCAAACTAATTTCTTATCGCTACTTAGCCTAAGCAGAAAAATCTCAGCATCGAACATAGTCTAGGTATTGTTATAATAAATCTATTCTCTGAGTTTCATCACTCTCATCCGATTAGAACAAAAGTATCTACCAATCAAATTGTTTATCTATGCGCTTAGCCTTAGTGGAAAATGCGCATGATCGAACACTGCCAAGGCATTCACCTAATAATCACCTACATTATGTTTGAACATTCTACCCCAATTTATTAGAAGGAGAGTTATTGTATTCTAAAGTCTTGACCAATCAGATTGAAGTATCTACTTGGCGTAAGCAGAAAATGCTCATCATCGGACTTAGTTAAGGTATTGATGTAATGAAACTATACACCAAGTTTCATCACTCTTGCTCAATTAAACTAATCAAGCTCCAAAGTCTCGAGCAATGAAATTGCTTATCGGTCTGCTTACCCTAAGCCTAAAATGCTTATTATCGAACTTAGTCAAGATATTGATATAATGAAGTTATACACCAAGTTTCATCACTCTCATTTAATTAGAACCAAAGTTATCGTGTCCCAAAGCATCAACCAATCAATCATATTGCTTATCTCTGCTTAGCTTAACTCATCTTCGAACTGCGTTAAGACATTCACCTAATAAACACCTACACCAAGTTTAAACATTCTAGCTCCATTAGAAGGAGAGTTAGTGTCCCAAAACGTGTGACTGGGATCACGTGGCTAAGTGGGTGAGACGCTTGCTCGCTAGCCTGGAGGTCGGGTGTTCGATCCACGCATTGACCGAGAAAGTTCATTCCGATTTTCCGGCGTGGTTTCTAGTGTTCGGCACGAATATTCGAATATTCGCTCGTCGAATATAATATTCGAAAAGCAATTACCATATTCGAATATCTATTATTTATTCTATTTGCTCTAAAAACTGCGAAATTGATCAAGTTTGTAGCCAAGCATTATCAGCCCCTCTCTCTTATTGACAATGACCATTTTCGGGAATTGGTAGAAGCCCTGAATCCATCACACAATTTACGGTCAAGTAAAACACTCAAAAAAAGAATGGAAGAAATAAGAATGGAAGAAATCTATGATGCCGTTCGTTCCGACGAACGTCAAATCAGGAATGACCCAAGTCATAAGTTAGCCCTGTGACCACAGATGAACAAAATGAGTCTTGCATTAATTTAACCGCTCATTTTGTATCACCAGATTGGGAGATGGTGGCTAAGACTCTGGAAGTGAAATCATGTCCAGGTTCACATACCTCGGATAAACTAAAAGAGCATCTGACGGAGATGGCAGATGACTGGAGTATGGTTTAGGTCCGCGTCTACTTGATGCGATGTCATGGAAGGTCAAGGTCTTGTGTACACATTGGCAGTTTACGTAAAAGATCCACTGGCAATTGCTAAAATATAATCGTTTCACATGTCAACAGAAATTTCACGTATTTCATAATTAATTAGAAATTATAATAAATTGAATACAAACCACTTTAAATATATTTATATTAAAAATTGAAAATATTTGAATAGTATTCGAATACTATTCGAATACAAATTTCAAGACCCGTCGAATATTCGAATAGTATTCTTGTTCGTATATCCGAACACTAGTGGTTTCCCCTTGTCAGAGATGCAGGACGGAGGCCTGACAAGGACAGCTGTCTAGTCGTTCGGATGGGACGAAAAACCGAGGTCCCGTGTACACATTAGCGTGCACGTAAAAGATCCCTTGGCAGTTGGAATTCGATATAAGAGTAGGCCGTAGCACCGCTGCCCGGGCAAAATTTCCCTCATAGCACACTGTATGGTGTATGCCCGTCTTCATTAGCCCAGGTTAGGGGCAGAACAGTAGGACGTTAAACCCCATTTCATTTCCTTTCATTTCATTTCAAAAATGTGACGGACAAACCAATTTTGATAGTTCCCTACTTTCTTCGAAAGGCGGGGGAGAATAAATATAAGGCAACCGCAAGCTGTTCAAACATAATACTATGAAAATACACTGCCACGTCACTTACCTACTATGTTTGATTTTATCATTTCATACCCATTCATTTTATTTTGTTTTTTTATCATTGAAAACACATCGGCAAATGGGTTACTTAATGCGCATGACGGGTTTTGACTGACAGTGGACTTGAACTGTATGCTAACTATATCTATAATGCAAGTATGTACATTGGCTATTTGGTCGGTATACGAGAATGTACACATATGATTAGTAGGTGATAAAGAATGTCTTTGTACAGCCTTGTGAATATTCTTCTAAAGGAAAATAGCTTTAAACTTTAGGCTGCCTTATACTCTAGTGTTATAGACGTGATTGATATTCATTTCCCTGCAGTAACATTGTGGTATGAAGTTTAATAAAAGAACCTGTTTTCGAAAGGTACGTTAGTTTATCCATGTATTTTCACATAAAATGTTACATACGATTTTGTAAGATTTCAAATACACACGTGTTATATATATTGAAATATATCAAATATAGCAATATATATAACATTAATTTCAATAAACCCCATAATTTCAAATGTGATTTAGACTATTGTTATAATACTTTCAAATTGATTTTACTTCCTTTTTTGACATAAATCGGGTTTAATGGTGTCACGGCTGATTTGGTAACCGGATCAGGTTGATTCTCCGTATCCTGCATTCCAGTTTATGGGATATTAGTGAATTATGATCAGTCGTACATCTGTGTGGTTCTCGGGGTTATTATCACGGGTTATTGTTTTACGTATTATTAGAGAAGTATTCAGGTAACATTCCAGTTTATGGGATACTAGTGAATTATCATCAGTCGTACATCTTTGTGGTTCCTGGGATTATTATCACGGGTTATTGTTTTACGTATTATTAGAGAAGTATTTGGGTAACATTTAATAATATTATATCTTATAGGCCAAGACTATGGTTACTTCGTAAAGGGTACCGAGTCAAATTAGGTATCGAATTAAACAGCGACACCAGAATAATTGAATGTAGAATCAACAATACATTTATGTAAATTACAAAAGGATACATGACAACATAGGTCTTGAGTCAATTTCTTAAATTTACAGGTATAGGAAAGAATGTGAGAGTATGTTGTAACGAATGTCACAATAAAATAACACAATCCCAACTTTATATATAGAATTATCTCACAGCTAATATGGGATATGGCGGTATGTCGAGTAGTCAATCAGCCATCACTATCCCATGCAACCGGGTAATGTTATGTTGATTGCAGGACCCCCGGGCCCCGAGACAAGCAACTGGACAAGACGGGGGGGGGGGGGGGTCTGGGTTCTCTCCTCCTCGGCTCTTAATGTTTGAAAGATACATGGTGTCACTTTAGTGTATATCTGGAGTAAATGGGGGTCGTTTTGATAAAAGACAGAAAGGGGATTTTTTAAATACAACATATTATGACATACCAAATAGTACTGCGTTTTAGTTTAACCAATCTGATTATCCAATTTCCATCGTTTTTTATAGTGTCTTTACTACACTAGGATGAAAAGTTGTTATATAACCCGCGTTCTGGTTAATGGGATGGATTAGTCAATGAAACGGTCTTGTTGTAGCGAGTGGGTATCCCACTAAAAACATCAACGCTGACGTCATGGGATCAAAAGCCGCTCGTATGGCCCCTGACGACCCACCGAAAGAATATAAAAAACGGAACGAAATATAGATCAGGGGTCTGATTCACGAAATTTTAACTAAGATAAAATCAAAATTTTAGTAATTTGATTGGATAATATTAGATTGATTATAGTGCTTAGCCAATCAAAATTGAGGTATCTACTAAAATTTGGATTTTAACTTTAGTTAAAATTCATGAATCGGGGCCCAGGGGGCTGTTTCACGAAATTTTAACTAAGATAAAATCCAAATTTTAGTAAATTGATTGGATAATATTAGATTGATTCTAGTGCTTATCCAATCAAAATTGAAGTATCTACTAAAATTGGATTTTATCTTTAGTTAAAATTTCTAGAAACAGGGTCCAGGAGTTTAACTAACGTAATAATACTCTGATGTGCACGATTTTGACAGGAAATTTTAAGCAAACAAATTGAAGAACAAACATGCCAAAATATCAAAAATATTTTTTTTTTTCATAACATAAAATATGTACCTAACACTGGCGTGCTCATCATCATTTTATTGTTCTATAGGCCCGGAGTAGGGACCGGATACCCTGACGGTGCCGAGAGCCTCAAACGGAACGTGGACGAGCCGGGCCTCATGGCGTGAAAGGCCTGATAGGTGGCTTATATTTTATAAATTCACCAATTTCCCCCCAAAACGTGGACTGACAGAATCCGCTTCTAATCTCACGCCACTTTATAGGTACCCACATTCAGAAAAGTCGCCCATTTTTCTTCTACTTTACGATTAAGTAATGGTGTATTTTTCTTTTTAAACATACAATATGCAAGAGCTAAATCTGCCTATTACAGGTCTTTCCTTAGGCCTGAAATGTTATCTAAATTATTAATTAGACATTAATTAACTTATCCAGACCATAATGAACTCTCGATGGCAACGCTAGCCTGCGATGTTTATTGGATTAGGTTCCAATTTACTGTTCGACTTCCATTCATAATTTAATCATGAAATGGATGATCGAGACTATGTTTTTTATCGCCCCAACTTTAGTAATGATGATCGGGGCTATCAGAGTGGATCAATTTGACTGAAATTTTCAGCAAATTCCCTTTACATTATCTAGTTTTTAACTACTGTATTAGAGTGAAAACTATTAGCTCTTTATCTAATCTCCAAAATTGTATCTTTAATTTATACCGACAATTTTTTAAAAACATATTACTCGGCATACCTCCGGGTCCCTCTAGGCCCCGGGCCTACGTATAGGTGTCCCAACTGCCCCCCCCCCCCCACGGGCCTGCTTGAATGGTTGCTGTCAAGGCTGATTCTGCCACGCTTAAATTCCACATAAGGCCAACTTCAAGTTGTGTCAAAGGTCACGAGATGTATAAAAAGGGCTAGCGCTAATCTCAACCCAAACCCTAACCCTGGACCTAGCCCTAATGCTTATCCTAACCCTAACGTACAATCTCGCCAACAATCACGTGCCGTCGTGCCCTAACCTTGTTTACATCCCAGCGACCTTGACGAAAATTTAGCTGACCTTAACAAATAGATTTAGCCCTGTCGAAAAGGAAGGGGCATCATCCCCTAAAGTAGAAACCATGTCGGCATGTATTTGTGTTATGGTTAGTCCGTTCAGTTGCAGGTACTTGATGCCCTATAGCCGGTTTTATCTATTTCTGGTGATTTCAATGGGTTGGTTCACAAGATGGCCTGGTACGAAGATAATAATAACACTATAGTTGCAGTTCTTGTGTCTATGATTCATTCAGTGATTATTGTACGTTTTAGTAGCAAAGGTTTGTTTCAACCCAAGCTATCCCCTGCAGGCTTAGAACTTTTCAGCTAGCCTTCGTATATGGTTTTCACGAAAACATAGTATTTATTCAAAAGTTTCGTGACCCAGAGGTTGGGAAACCAGGTTATATACAGAGGCGATGGCAAACAGTTGAGTGACCCTTAAAAACCGATAGTGTATTAGGGCGGAGGGCCTGTGATGTTGATATAAATGATGATCATCTTATAAATTAGTAAAACATTTAATGTGATATAGGATACCCCTGAATAACTCTTTTGATTGTGGAGTGGGGTGGGGTGTCTTGGTACAAAATTGTTGATCTAAACTCAAAAGAGACTTGAAAACATATTAAAGCATCTTAGTTCGAACTTCAAACAAAGCAAAACTAAAATGGTCTAAAGATACGCCATAACAATATCGACAAAATCATACAAAACACTAATGGCCTTCGATTAAAAATAAAACAATGTTAGATTTAACAAAAATAAAGGCCGCTGGTTATTTTTAGATAGTAATCTTAACATTGAAACAAAAATTAATAGCTCCAATATTGGCCTCGATGGTTGTGGATAGAAATCAGTTATCGTTCAGACGTCTTCAAACTAGGTCATTTCGGGACTAACACATGGTTCAGTTTTATTTCAGCAATTCGCTTTCGCGTAGGGAGGAAACCGGAGAAAATCCATGAGGTTGGACAGGCGACCCTAATTGTAAGGTACAACCGGGGGATCGAAACCGCACCAGTTCACTAAGTGACAGACCTTATGATACAGTGCGGACGTCCTAACCATTCGGTCATTCATGGCGGCATGAAATCAATCGAAACTAATCGACCCACCCCCTGCAAAAAGTTTACCCCCCCCCCTCCCCCATGAAAAAATTGTCGACCATAGATATACATTGACCGTCAGTGTTACAGCACCCCTGAGACCCCCCCCCCCCCCCCCGCTGCTCTGATGCGATTGGAATCGTGGTTTTGATCCAGGAGTACTCGTGATGATCCTATCAGGTTTTATTATATCTTAAGATCAGTCATAGAAAAGTTTTGGACGGTTCCTAAATTTTCTACAATCAACACGATTTAATCGCGGTAGTATTGGATCGTAACAAAGCGTGAAAGATCGTGGTGATCGGGATCAGCCTCGGGCAATACAAATACCACGCTCTGTTAAGATGCAATGTATATGATATAATGGTTTGTCGGGCGGTATATAATATACCCGTTAGAGTCCAATCGCAGCTCAAAACGTGACCACTCTCTATTCCGACCGTGAGAGACGCCACAACCACAATCGTATCCTGTTGCAAAAGCGCGCATCGGTTCCTGGTGATCGTATCGAAAGGTATCCGAACCTATTTGCACGTACCAGACGACCGTGGAGTCAATAGAGACAATTCTATCTGAACGGAAGACCAGATTGTGATAGATTCTGTCACCTGAAATTAACCAGTCGTGACCATATCCTATCCAAGCGCACCAAATCGTACCAGAACATATCATATCTACTCGCATCACCTCTTAATCAAACGTGAAATTTTAAACAAGTAAATAAGAATTCCACGATCAGCTAAAAATGATCAATCGTCGCGACAGTGGGAACCTAGCATAATTATTATCATTATTATTATTATTATTGTACATGTACATACATTTCTATAGTGCTCTTCCACAACAGTGTTCAGAAGCGCTTTACAATATGATACACACATAGATATGATAAAATACAAAAGAAATAGAAATAACGAAAGTTAAGATCTGTTAAATATGAAATAAATTTTATCTAAAATATAGAAATAGAAATAACAAAAGTTTAAATCTGTTAAATATAAAATAGATTTGATCTAAAATATATATAACAACAGACGGCATCAGGAGCTGGTTAAAAGCTTTCTTAAACAGAAAAGTTTTAAGTTGACTCTTAAAAACGGGTAAGGACACACTGCTGCGAATAATATAAGGAAGTTTATTCTATAGTTTAGGTGAAGCAACTGAAAAAGCTTAATCACCAAAAGACACAAGATTTGCTTTTTTTTCTCAACAAGTAGGTAGCAATCTTCAGAAGATCTTAATTGACGACTAGGTTTATATAAGTACCAGCAGGATACCCGGCTTCGCTCGGGGGTCATAACTCCGAAACCGGAAGTGGTAGACTAACGCCACCTGGCCTATGTTACTCCTCGGTCCGAGCTACCCCTATACCCCAAATTTCAGACTCGGGGCAGACCTAGTGTAGCCGCCAACCCCGAACAGACCGGCTTCGCACGGGGGTCAAAACTCCGAAACCGGAAGTAGTAGACTAAGGCCACCTGGCCTATGTTACTCCCCGGTCCGAGCTACCCCTATACCCCAAATTTCAGACTCGGGGCAGACCTAATGTAGCCGCCAACCCCGAACAGACAGACAGACAGACAAACAGACAAACGACAGTCACAAATATTAGTATAGATATAAGATCTGATAAATATGAAGGGATCAAATTATTTAAACACTTTTAGGTTAAAAGTAAAATCTTATATACTATTCTAAAAACAATTGGTAACCAATGCAACTTATAAAGTACAGGTGTAATATGATCTCGATAAGATGATCCTGAAATAAGGCAGCCTGTAGAATTCTGTAGTTTTTGTAACTTATCAAGATGTTTAGCTGGAGTGCCGTATAAAAGTGAGTCAGAATTGTCAATTCGAGAAGTAACAAGGGAGTTAATTAAGGTTTTCATTGCATCAATTGAAATATATTTTTTAATTTTACTGCTGCTACAGAGATTAAATTAACCAGTTTTACAAATACTGTTAATGCGCGATTCCATAGACATGTCAGATGTCAAGGTCCGAGGAGCAGAAGACATGCCATTCAAATCACTCTGTGGCGTTCCTTTGGTATATGATTCCAAAAGCGTTAGTGCGTTTCCTGAAATTCCAAATTCTGATTCCAATCTGTGAAGCCGTATATCATTATCCACAGTGTCAAATACAACAGACAGATCTAGAAGTACTAATAAAACACCATCACGATTGTCCAGACTGTTGTTTATGTCATTATGAACACGAACTAGAGCTGTTTCGGTTCTACTTGCTCCATAAGATTATTATCACAGACATGATTTATAATTTGACTAACGATATACCCGTTCCAATGTTTTTGAAAGGAAGCTCAAGTTAGATAATGGGCGATAGGTTTTCTCAATGTTGGGGTCTAGATTCGATTTTTTTTTATTAATGGAAATACAATAGGCGATTTAAATGCATCTGGAGTATTTCAGTAACGGCACTATTGATGATATTTGTCATGACAGACAACATGACTGGAAGGCACTTTTTCAAGAATGATGTTAGAATAGGATCCAGAACACACGATTTTGAAGCTGCTCGGATTATAATTATCGATAATTCTGATTCGGAAACACAAGAACAATTACAGAGTATTGGTGGTAGGGAAGGATACATGCCAAATGCGACTTTATGACTGCTTGCGTGTTAGCGTACAGCACTGTATATGTAACGCTGATCAATGTCAAAAACTATAGAGATTTATCGAAAACTAACACGAGTGTTTATTTATAACATTAATTATTATGGTTGAACGTTAAAGGGACACTTTGTGATAATATTTTTATACTGACCTACAGTAGGTATTTATGTGTACCAAATATTGTATGACTTGATACATAGATCATTAATAGATATATAGGATATCCCGAGGACACTAATAAATATATATAGGTTATAGTTAAAGCTACTCTTAGGTGTTAGATATTCGAAATAAAGATGTTTTAGGAAAAAAACTAGGTTAAGCGGAAAGTACTCGCAAAAACCTAGTTTTTTTCCTAAAACATCTTTATTTCGAATATCTAACACCTAAGAGTAGCTTTACCTATTCAACATCAACCTCGAATCGCCTAGTATAGTATATTTCTTCTTTCTAGAAGAATACAAGTTTAAATGAAACTTTAATATTTTTTTTTCAATTTCAGAAGTTTTTCTGGGTGTTTAAAAGTGTATTGTCATAGCTGGAAATACAAATAAAGGTAAAACATTTTCATAACACACTATTTTAACTTGCTTCCTGGATGACAGCTTAAATCAAAGCCAATTATGAGTTAAGACTTGATAGTACATCAACAGTACAATCTAATATAGCCGGATGAATGGAGTAGTGGTGACTGGCCTGTAGTCAGTGGCTCCAATATTAAAGGGTCCCAAAAACCAGTTCTAAAAAAATGTTATACCATAAATATATATGTCTTAATTGTCTTTTATTAAGTTGAATGTGATTGTGCCAACTACATCTATATCTACCACACTAACATACACAATTGTATCTGTGTGAGTGTGACGGACAATGACCAGAGCCTGCCCCCTTTACACTGTTGATGCAAGGGCCCTAACGACATTTTCAGCCAGGGGCCCTATGCAAGCTTAATCCGGTCCTACAATCTACTCCATACATGAACCGCTGACATCTAAAATTGAAGAATATCTTACAATCATTAAATTAAATGATAAAATCTTTGCTAATTAAACTCATTATCTATAACAGATAAAGAAAACTAGTATTTCAGTATAGCATTTCATTTGCAGGTCATGTCCGGGGTGTGAAAATTCATGTCATTGTGTAAGAACCCCATATCACCTCAATACATGATTAATAAACATGCCCTTGTCTTAGTTAGCCCACTTGGTGCAGAAAAGTAAGCTTTAAAGTCAGTTTTCATTTCATTTATTTAAAAACGCAAGTGTGAAACAATAATAATGTATCTATAAGAAATACACCCGAAAAGAAATTATGATTTTAAATTCGTCTGCTATCTGGTGTTTTAAAGATAACTGCTTCTACCAAAATATTAAGGCGTATTATGAAGTCCAAGCTTTTTACCATACTGGGCGGCGTTGACTATTGTCGCTAAATTTCGTGATGAAATATTTCTTAGGGTGATGAAACGCGATTAACTTTACAGGTCTTTATAAATTATAAATTTTATAATTTAAAACAAAATGTTATTATGATAATGTTATATTCGGGGTCGGTATAAAACTTGGCACATTATCCATAATGTTTCTATTGTTGACATAGATGTACAATGCCTTTGATGAAAATTACAATAGGTTTACAGGGATATAAACGGATCCTAGACGTTAAATAGAAACTAATAGTTAAGACGGACGATCTCTTTGACCATTAAAAAAATAGTTTTCAGTTTAAATAGCTTCAAGGATTAGGGCCTATTTGGACTGTTATATGTGACCTTTCTCTAACTACATTGGGTATACCGACACTGTCAATTAATTAAACATAATGCTATCCCGGTTACTCATAGGCATTATAATACTCTATAATATTATATAAATATACAATATTGTACATATAAACAGTGTACATATACATGATATAAGCTAAAATGATACAATACTATTCAAAAGATTATATTTAACGTGAATGTGAATAATAAAAAAAACATTAACAGAGATAATTAAGATGTTAGGATTATAGTGGGATAACAGAATCACGTTCAAATTTTAATGAAGAAACATTAATTTTTGTTTTTGTTCAGTCATCCAGAACCGTGAAGCCTACTCGTCGATATATTTTCTGTTGACCGTTTTATTGTTCGGGCAACGTGCAAGTGTACGCTGATTGATATACACAAACTCCAAGAATCATATTCCCAATATCACCATGGTTTTTCCCATTCATCGCCTTATTGATGGAAGATACATATTGGCCAACGTACATAGCAACGTAACCAACCCCTTGACCCGCACTGTATATAGGTTATCAGGTTCAAAATGCGATCTGAAGTAAAAAGTAAAAAAATAATCAAAAGTAAAAGAGGAAATTAGTATCTAAAAGGAATAGTTTTGTCTGAATTCTGCTTTCATCGACATAATTTTTATTTATCAGTTTATAATAAGTGATAATTTCATAATAATTTTTTTAAACTTTAAAGCGGCATTAGGTAAGATTTAGCTACGAGAACGTAACTAAAAACGTTGAGATATACTGATGTGCTTGTTTTTAACTACGATTGGATGCCTTTAATTATAATGCATGTACCATCTTAAAAATAAGTTAATTTTATACTATTAGTTCTTATTACACATACGCAGCCCAATCTACTGAAACAACATTCATTTATCAGCAAATATTGACAATAAAGTAAATCAAGCGTTGTTCTTATCAAAATTGATACGGACATTCATAATTACGGCGTATTACTCCTGCGCAACTCTGATCTAGTTAGTACTTTGATTGGCTATTGCACACGAGGCCCCGTGTTAAAGACGTAAATTTAAAATGTCGGAAAAAGCAACCTACTATCGCTTCGATTTAAAAAGAGGGGATTTGTACCCGTGTCAGGTAGGATTTTCTGCTTAATTGTAGTTGGGTGTGGCAGAAATGTTATAAATAACAATAATCACTAGTTGGTTTGATGAAAAATATTGTCAATTTTGCTTACTGAGGCCGGGTGTGATTCGCGTTTGGCTTTGCTACGTGGAACTATATAGGACCATCTCTTATCTCAAAACACGGAGGGTTGAGAGATGAGGTTTGTTATCTAGGTAAGATTAGATAAAGAACTAATAGTTCTCTCTATAGTAGCTAAGAAATAGATAATGGAAAGAGAATAGGTTGAACATTTTAGTCAAATTACTTCGCTCGGAGCCAAGCATCGCCGATACATAATCTAGCCTCGATTGTCATTACTACCGTTGTTAAAGCGATAATTTCTTATTTTCTAAGAAAGTCAAAACATAATTATTTGTATGTCTTTTGCTCAATAGGTTGTCAACTCACCATTATACGATCATAGGTATTATTCTCCTACTTAAAAAATCCTTTGACCCCGGAAATAATAACACGATTACCTCCATTGTTTTTCTATTCCCCCCATGGAATAGCTATCTTCAAACGTTTGAATTTGAAGTTGAAAATTATATTTTTGCCAATTTCTCAACTGGCAATAGTGAATTATAGGATTAATAGGATTATTCTTTAACAAGGCAGTACGGTTTATAGATATCATCTATTTTAAGTCTTTATTTTAATAAATTTTAAAAATATAACTTAAAATATGAAATTGCAACTTTAAGATAATAAACAAGGTCTCGGTTATCTAATTTTACGGTAACCGCACCAACCACAAAACGTATTTAAATCTACTGAATATCACAACCATCCGAGAGTTAATTATATGATGTCTAATCAATAATTTATATAACATTTTAGAAAAAAAGATCTGCAATAGGCAGATTTAGCTCTTGCATATTGCCCGTTTAAGCTGCTTGTTAATCTGATAATTTCCACAATGTTAACTATGACAATTGTATATTTATTGTCCTGTTAGGTTCTTTGAAAACTAAATCTGTAGAGTGGACTATGGCATATTTACGGCATACCTTTTACAACATAAGGTTGAGTAGCGTTACAACGTGCGCTTGTAACGAACAACGACGGAGAATACTATATCACCTTGACATCTGGATTATCTTATATTATCGATTGACTTTACAATAACAGTAAACGAAATAAAGATATGTTTCCATCTGCCCCTTAAAGCATAATAAACTATTTTAATATCGATATAGAAACAGAAATTAAATCACGAAACATTATGCCTAAATGTTAAAACAATTGAATACATGTAAAACCCAATGAAAAACATATATGCATATTAAAGATAAAGTTTGTCAGTGAGCTTAATAATTCGACCTCTTCCACTTTTATTAATACTAAGATCTGGAACAGGTTTTAAGAATGATCTATTACGTCTAAATTTGTTTTCTTTTTCATTGCTCACAAAACAAGATCCTGTCGTACTAGCCTTTCCTTCTTTGACACCAAGATTTAAGATTTACAATTTTGATCATCTGTGACAACTTTTTGATTTACATCTAGATTACTATTATTCCTGTCATATTGAATCTCTTGCTTATCTTATCTAGATTGTAAACAAACTAAATAGTCTTCATTTGTCGGAGTTCTTTGGAGTTTACCAAAAAAAGGAATTTGAGTTCTATAATTTCTATTATTCAAAAGAACACATGGGCAGGAAGTGTGTTGTCAATTGGGTTGGTTTTAAACATTAAGGATTTTGATTTGCAGATTCAGATTTCTTAAGAAGATTCTTAACAGTTTGCACCATTCTCTCTATAAAACCATTGCTAGGTGCATATAAAGGAGAACTAGTTATGTGCTCTATCCCCCATTCAAGACAAAAATTACTAAATTCAGAACTATTATATTAAGGTCCATTGTCAGACTTAATGGTTTGGGGAATGCCATATTCATCAAATATAGACTTACGATGATTAATTACAAATAATGAAGTAGTGCGATCTAATTTACGAACAATAGGAAATTTATTAAAATAATCCGCGACTAACAAAATAGTGAATTCTATCATACTCAAATAAATCGGTGCCTAGCTTTTGCCAGGGATAACTAGGAACAGTAAAGATTCTTAGGTTGTTGTTTACTAAACTGTAAATAAGTATAAACAATTATTACTTGTAATATCTTTTATATGATTTGAAATACCGGGCCAAAATAAACATTCTTTGGCCTTTAACAAACAGTTTTAGTATTTAAATGTCCTTGATGTATACATGTAATATCTAATATTTGATTACGATGCAAAGAAAAGTCGTCGTTTGGCTGAACGGAAATGGAGGTCTACTCATCTTGAGGTACATCGGCAATTATATAACGATGAAAGAGCCAGAGTATCTAAAACTATCAGAGAGGCCAAGTCACGTTACTGTCTTGAAAAACTGACTGAAGATGCCAACTCTCTTGATAAGTGTCATTCCTTCATGAAATCATTGCTTGGTACCAAATCCACAGCCACTCAGCCACATTCAGATGATCGCGAGAAATTGGCAAACTCTTTCTCTGACTTCTTTGCCTTAAAGATTGACAAAATTAGAAAGGAGTTTACTGATCATGGAGTCCTTAGTGATACAAATACGTGTATACCCGTGAACTTGACTGGTGTCGTGCCACTCAACGAGTTTGAGAGTTTTAGTC